AGTTATTTTTGAAGGCACTGACACCTGTGTGCTTACCTTATGGGCTTGCCGTCATTAAGAAGAGTGTGGAAGACCTCAAAGAGAGAATCACAACACAAGTGTTGAAGGGAAGATACGATGAAACTGAACCGAGGAAGAGCGGACACAATCAATCTCTACTTCAAGATTCCACAGAGTGACCCTGACCCACTAGTTCAACAGTCAGAAATAGGTCTCTATCACAATTCCACACTCGTGAAGCAGAAATTCCAATAGAGCTATTCAGTTTGTAGATTCTAAACACTGAAGAGAATTAGCATTTTGAATCCATGAGATTCCTTAGCTATTTTCTATAGGTTTTAAGAATGACAGCTTTTAATATGCAAAATAAAATATATGTGATTAAAGTCACAATAAAACAGAAGTAACAAACGTTCCTTACTGTGACTTACACAGAGTGTAATGGATTATCAAGGAAGAAAGTAGGTCATGAACTTGGTTCTATGCATCGGTTGTTGACTGAATGTTAACTTAAGATGACGGTGTTGCACTCAAAAGCCAAGGCAGATGAATGCAAGCTTGCGGTGGAGGGGTTAAGAACACTAAATGATTGGAGAAGTCCTGCATATGTCATACAAGAGAGAATGATGTTCTTTTCACCTGAAGGTCAAGTTATGATATTGTGATTCAAAATTATGATATTGTGAGGTCAAAATTAAAAAGAAAGAAAGAAAGACGCACTGATAAACTGTACACAATAAGATCATGTATTTCGAAAATAGGGTGAATTTCTATTTTATGCCAATGTTAAAATTACTTGAAGAGGTCTTTTTATATAACAAATTACACAGTCAGACCTCCAACTTGTGTTATCAACACTATTAACCAAGGAATATTATTAATATAATATCACACTTATTTTACTTTTTTTTTTTTTTTATCAAAAACTGCTACTCTAAAAACTGAAATTACTGAAGGAATCCAGGTCAAATTAGCCTTTTGTGCTTATTTACAAATTGACCTCACGACAGAAATAAACGCTTTAGCCTGTAACAATGAAAGTATCCATATGGTGGATTACTGATGTTTACTGATGTCACATTCACCCCAACAGGATGAAAGCAAGTGTCAACAGCTAATGCATATGAAGCAAATTATCAACTTATTATAGACTGGTCAGACTGGTCGTGGCGGCGGTGTTGCAACAATATATAGGCCTACACTGTAAATTATTTGACCGTAAAGTCACAGCAAATTACTGGCTACTAGTTGCATTAATTTCACAGTAAATTACTGTATGTAAATTTACAGTAAATTACTGTAAACAAGCTACATTACTTTTACAGTAACTTACTGTGTAAGATTCCATGGTATTACTGTGATTTAGCAGTATTCTTCAGCAGAATTACTGTATTTAGCTGTGAAGTTACAGTTGATGTATATCAGATTACTGTGATTTAGCAGTATTCTTCAGCAGAATTACTGTATTTAGCTGTGAAGTTACAGTTGATGTATATCAGATTACTGTGATTTAGCAGTATGCTCCTGTAGAATTACTGTATTTAACTGTGAAGTTACAGTTGATGTATATCAGATTACTGTGATTTAGCAGTATGCTCCTGTAGAATTACTGTATTTAACTGTGAAGTTACAGTTGATGTATATCAGTTTACTGTGATTTAGCAATATGCTCCTGTATATAACTACTGTATTTATCTGTGAAGTTACAGTTAATGTCATCAGATTACTGCAATTTAACAGTATTCTGCTGTAATGCAAATTACTTGCCAGTAATGTGCTATTAATGTACTTAAAACCTATTTTAACTTTAATGCACTTAAAACCTATTTTAAAATACTGTAAATTTGACATTTTCATGTGTTAACCCATTAATAACCTATAACATGTTAAATTCAAATAAACACAAAAACACAATAAATTGTTGTGAACATTTATTCTTACACATTTATTTTGCTTCTCTCCATTGAACGAAGAGACACTATAAGAACATATTTAATGACTAACTTACTGCATAACTGCATGCAACTTAACACCGAGCCAGTGTTTGGTTGGTCTGTTCTGGCGAAACACTGCTTACATTCTAGACTGTCATCCATTCAAAATCAATGAGTTTTCTGATTAGTGTGCAGACTTGTTGGTTGATGTGACCTCTCTGCCTCTTTGACTTCGTGCCCGTCTCTGGAATTATTCCCAAGAAGCACCTATAAACAAAAAGGCAGAGGAAAGCTGTTAGTTTCATTCAAGTGGGATGAAAAAGGTGTCATTAACCAGTCACCACCTTTAGTAGATCACAGCTGTTGCACTACAGAGCAAAACTTAAGTTAGCTCAGTTTGAACAAGGTGACATTACTGTGGTTCTATGGTTAAATGTTAAAAGGGTGACAAAATGATTACAGATATTTAAAAAATGCATTTCTTACCAGTTAAAATTCTAAATAAACATGTCAGCTTTGTATTTATTACTAGTAGAAATATAATTTTTGATATCAATACTTTGTTACTAGTAAAAATGTGAATTCCTGATATCAAGAATTCAATTGTTACTAGTTGAAATGTTAATTCTTGATATCTTTCAAAGTATTTCAACATGTTACATTTGTTATTTCTGATATCTGAAAATGTATTTCTAATGAGGAGAGTAATTTCTGATATCTAAAATGGCTTTCTTACTAGTATCAATCACATTCATGATATCATAAATTAGCATTGTCACTAGTGACAATCAAATTATTGATATAAAAAATGAAAATTTGTACTAGTAACAATTCAATGGTTGATATCAAGAATAGCCATTTGCACTAGTAGCCACGTGATTACTGATATCAAAAATAAAGGTTTTTACCAGTAAGAATTGTATTTCTGATATGTGAAATTGGAATTTCAACTAGTAAAATCAATTCTTGATATCAACATTTGAATTTGAATGGCAGCCTATGGTGACCTTTAACTAGTGAAAATACAATTACAGATATCAAGAATTATAGTTTTTACGCATTGTCACTAGTGACAATCAAATTATTGATATAAAAAATGAAAATTTGTACTAGTAACAATTCAATGGTTGATATCAAGAATAGCCATTTGCACTAGTAACCACGTGATTACTGATATCAAAAATAAAGGTTTTTACTCAGTTTTTTAGGCTTCAAAAACAGGGGCACCTTTCCATTATACAGCTTGGAAGAGCCAAGACAATTTTAAATATAAAATTTGAAGTCTGAAAGAGGAATGTCAGATACGCATAGGATGCCCTGAGGTTGAGTAAATCATGGGCAAATTTTTATTTTTGGGTGAACTATCCCTTTAAAAATCTGCACCTATGGTAGCACAAAGTCAGAATTTGTGCACAAATCATCCCTTTCCCCCATCAATTTATCTTAGATTAGGCAGTACACTTTTGGTAAAGTTTAGATTGTGATCGTGACTTTGGGTTATGTATGAAGTATTCAGTGTGTACACTCATCAAGCACTTATACAACTTAGCTATAACTATCAGGAACACATGTACACCTCCTTATTCATGCAATTATCCAATCAGCCAATCATGGGGCAGCACTGCAATGTATAAAATCATGCAGATACAGGTCAGCAATATAGACTGTATATAAAGATGGATGACATGACAGTTCCGCAAAAGTGAAACAAAAACATCTCGATTGCCCCCTGGTGGCTGTCTGCAGTAATTGTTATTACGCTAATGTACGCTCAAGCGTAAATTTTTCTGATAGGTTCAATTTAGGGCTGCACGATATTGAAAAAAACTCACATTGCAATATTTAATTTTTCTGCGATATATATTGCGATATGAAAAAAAAAATCACCACATGACTTGAATAGTTTATTTGGGGAAAAATAAATGAGTGCAGTTTGGTCTAACAACGGGGAAACTGACGCGCAGCACATTTGGCAGTGGAATTTTCTATTCCAGAAACAAAGACGATCAAAAGGAGTAACGTTTTCTCCCCCCAAACAATAGCTTCATTCGAATACTGACATGCGCACTTCATTTTTCACTTGACGCAGCTGGCAACGGCTGCACCTCCGTATCACACACTAGTGATGGGAAGTTCGGTTCTTTTCCGCGAACCGGTTCTTTCGGACAGTTCGATTCAATAA